GTGTGTGGCCAGCTCAGCCCACCAGGGGGCGGGGCTGGCTGGCATGTGGTGCTGGGGGATTGAACCGCGGTCCCTGCGCTTTGCTAAGCTTGTTCTAAGTAGGTGCTTTAGACCACTGAGCCATCTCCCCAGCCCAAGATAGCATTTACAATAGCAAACAAGAAAAGAATACATTCAATAATGATATGCAAACAAAAATGATAATACTTTTGTATATATAATGTACTCAGAACTAAAACATGTAAAGTTATGAAATAAAACTAAAAAAAATTATGAAATACATCTAAACACTACACAAATATTTACAACTATAACTGCTTCCAGCAATATCTAAAGTGCTACTGACCTTGTGGCAGTACTTCAAACGTATCACTTACATGCACAAGAATCAAAGAAAACACCTAGACATAAGAGTTTTGGTCTTTAAGACAGTCTGACACCAAACATGCACCCTTACCTTCCCATCAGCTGTCACAGCAAAAAGTGTTTGCTCTCCACCAATCAGCTGTACCGGCCTGAGCGCTGCGAGAGCTTCACAGGGAGTGGGAACTTTAACCTTTGCACCTTCTATGCCTCCTAGCTGCCCTCTATGATTATGACCCCATCCATAAATGGTTCCACTGCCGCCCGCAGAAAGAGTCCAGTCATCTGGTCGCCTATGACAAACATTAAGAGAACATTGGACATCTGAAAGAATGGCACAAGAAATCTCGTTCTCGAATATGCAACATTATTTGTTGTTTCTGCTCTATCAACCTGTTCATCCACTGCACAAGTTGTTCATCTTGCTCTCTTTTAAAAATGTCATGGCTCTCATGGAGAACATCCATGTTTTCAGTGTCTGCCATTAACTCACGAATTTTCTTTGCCACCTAGAAAACATTATAATTAGATTATGAAACAAACATTTATCTCCAAAATAAAATAAACATTAAAATTAGAACACAAGAGGAATCCTTGCCTAGGCAATTATGAGGAAATGATTTTATTCTTAGTAAGTATATTACAGCAATTCTAAGATATTAAAAATTGGATGGTATCATTATATCATTAGTCCACTAAAAATGAACTTTAATTGAAATTCACAGTATTAGTTCACTTATTTTCATTTACATAGTTTTTTTATGGTATTTTTTGGCAAAAGGAAGTTTTCTGTATCTCATAATGTTGGCATCTTTTTCTTTGGCATCTTTTTGTACGATATCTAAATTTTAAAATTCCTGCACTACAAGTGATTCCAAAATAATGTACAGTAATACCTCATCAAGAAACACACGGGGCAGCGGCGCTCTCTTGTCCAGGGCCACAGCGACTCGGGAGGCCATGCAGTACCGTCGGAACCAAGCCCACCTATGCGTCTCAGCACAGCACGGAAGCGTGTCGAGCTCCAAGTCACAAGCAAGGGCCACAAGTACCTGCAGCCACAAACATTTAGCTACGCAGTGCCACTGGGAGGTGTGCTACTACTCTACCTTCCCACCAATCATCACCCCAGGGCTTCTAAGGGTGTTTATTCAGGACTCCTCCTTACGGCAGTTCCTAGAGATGCACCGTACGCACAGGACCTCACATCTAACAACTACTACAAAACTGTACTTGTTGCCCACATCAACCAGCAAGAGGACTTGTGCATTTCAAGGCACGCTAATACCTGGAAAATGGCTTAGGTTATAAAGCCATAGGTCACAAAAGCATTTATTGAGCTTTTCTATATTCAACTTCAGCAATACCCAACATCTGCCTTCAAAGAGACCCTGAACCCAGGGCCCTGGCAGTGCTCACTGGCTTTCCCAACACCTTAAAAGACAAGCATTACCTTAAAGAATGGGCTATGGAGCAGCTGCTTGCCACCCCTCACAATAGGATCTTCATATTCAAACTGCCTCTGCAAAGCTTCTGGAAGCCCTTTCACCAAAGCTGCGAGAGCACTGCCTGTAAAACTCTTAAACATAACAAGACAATACGCTATTGCACAATCCAAGATGCAGGCGCACCCCCAGTTTGTTTTAATCTCGTGAGCTAAAGTTTTCATTGTTTTAGTACTGCTCCCTCTTAAAAAATGCTTCTTGAGAGGAGAAGGGATGAAAAAAAGAAGAGACATATTAGGTACGTGCACCAACTCCCCATGAGGAACGTAATCCTTACGTACTGCAAACATGTACTAATGAAAATAAACACTGAAAAAATGCTTACTGAAATTCTCAAGTAGGAAAAAGACTAAAAGGACAATGCACTACAAAAAAAAAGGAGTATGAATGTCTCGGAATGTTTGTCTTGATTTGGCAAAACCACTCAGGAAACCATCCCTTGCTGGGAGTGGTTCCTACTGATCTCAACGGGATAAAGGGACTGCACACCACGGGGGTGTGGCCATTCAGATGGTCCACAAACACCATCTCACATTTAGAGCTATTAATGCACTGATTTTTAAAAAGCCAACGTCCAGTCTGAACTCAATATGTATGAAAATTTAAGAAAAAGCCTGGAAGAGTCAAAGGCCTCTTTATGCCCAGGGGAAATTTCCCAACTCTATTCAATGATTTATTGGCTTAAGGAATAATGCAACATTTTATTGCCACAGGGTTCAAGATCTAGAAATTGTACTATAGTGCTTCTTACCAAAGTTCTCGTCTCCCCATCATTTTCTCCAAGCAGCCTGTTTATGTTAATTGACTGCCCAAATTCCGTGGTAAGCAGCTTCCTCAGTCTTTGAAGGGCCCACATTCTGTGACTGGCTGCTGCAAAGAGCAGACAGAAAGGAAATAGCAGAAGCTTGACTGCTTCCTTCTAGCTAGTAAGACAGACAGAACGATGAAGGCGTCATTACCTAAGGCACTCAACTGTGCGCAGGCTGCCAGTGAGGCCGCAAGGCGAGGGACTATGTTTCTGTTGGAGGTGAGATTAAGTCGGAAGTCCAGAAGACAGGTCACCAAGTCCATCGATGGACAGGAGAGGACACAGCGATCAGACAAGAGGTCCTTGGGGCCTGTGAAGGAGCACTATGAATGTCCCTGTGTATGACTTGGGAGGGACCACTATATAAGGAGATACCTACAAGTCAGACTGACTAGGTCATTTGGAACATATCAGTAAAAGACGTGCCTACTGTACCACTATCCACATGAACCACACTTGTCACACTGACATTTCAACTGTAATGCAACAGCTTTACGAGTTGTAGCCAGCAAAAGTTTTCCTCATAGGGAGAAAACACAGTGGTAGGACCTTGGAAGATGGAAGGCTAAGGTGGCTCTGTGTGGTATGATCCTTGCCCCAACAGTCTTTGGCAACACCTTCTCCGGGCATAGCGAAAGTCGGGAGATCAGAAGTTACCTGCGCCGCACAGGGAACACTCTCAGCCTGTCTCAGCCACTGCCCTTCTCTTACCTGCAGCTGGCATGATGGGATAGACTGTGAAGCGCCAGCCCCAGCCATTCACAGACCCATCGCTGATGAATTTCCACTTCAGTTCATCCCCTGGGATCCGCAACTCACTGGACCAGTCCGACCACTCTCGGCCTGGTGGAGACAAATATACTCTGCAGGTAGGTTCAAACCATCACCCAACCAATACACGCTTCTCAAATATAAAGCAATGACCACATATGGTGGTACACACCTATAATCCCAGTATTCAGAGACTGAGACAGGGGGATTGTTAGGAGCTCAAGGTCAGCCTGGGCGCCAAACTGAGTACAAAGCCAACCTAAACAGCACAGCAAAAACCATTCTCAAAAAGACAAAAATTTACAAAAAGAAATTAAATATAAGGGCCAGTCAAATAGCTCAGCAGATTGCTGGGGATTTGATCCCCAGGGCTGCTGTGCCGGCTCCACCCCTGGGGCACCCTCACACAGCAACTGAGACTAAGCGGGGTGGTGTGCGCCTGTAACCCCAACTCTGGGGAGGCTGTAAACAGGTGGATCACTACAAGTCCAATCTAGTAGTGAGACCCTGAACACTCTGTAGACCCTTCCCCCAAATAAATAAATAAATAAATAAATAAATAAATAAATAAAGCGAAACTGTCAGAGGCTCTCTGTGCAGTGGGCTTTTCCAAGCCAAGATCTCCCGGGGTTCACAGGGGTACTGGTCCAGTGACTGGTGTCCTGGTGAATGGCACTGTCACGCCTTTCTCCCTTCCACAGACACTCACTCCACCGCAGATCCAGTAACTAGAGAATCTGAAGGTGGGCAAGCACGCTCAGCTTGGCAGAGGCCCTGCTAGAAGAGGAGACCAGCGCACACACACAAGCCCAGGAGGCGGCATAGGAGGCCCACAGGCGGCAGCATGGCTCCTGGTCAACTCTAGGGGTATGCTTCTCCAGGGGAGGTCTGACACGAAGGCAGGCAGTCAGGCAAGGAGAGAAGGAAGCCCACTTACCTGAAGCACTCATACATACAATCCACAACAGACAGGGAGAGGCCACCCTCAAGGAAGGAGTGGACAAGGCTGCCCAAAGCAGAAGGCCAAGCCTTGGAAGAGAGCTGTGTGTGGTGGCGCCTCTCAGAGCTACAGAGGGCCTGGATAACTATGCACTGTAGGGCTCTCTGAAGGACCCTGAGAATGGCCTGACAAGTCTTTCTGCTGGAAGACGAGAGACCTGTCACATTTACCACCACCACTGAGACCTTGGCCAACAGACCTCAGTCAGGGTGCTGGGAAAAGTAGCGTTTGTGGTGACAGTGTCATAGCATGCAAAGCTTCAAATCACAAACGTCAGTAATGGCATGCGTATGAAGTTTTCCTGGGACACAGCCACACCCACTCACCAACACACAGCCTGGTATCGATGAAGACTGCACACGGCCCACAAGAGCCTCACATGTTCATCACCTGGCCTTCCCCTCAGACACAGAAAGTCTGACACCCCTTACTCCAGATGAATATAGAGGTCTGAAACACCAGACATACACATGCCTTGCACTGACAACTCTGAAATTCCAGGATCTGCAGTATCTCACAATCTTTCAGATGGGGCAGCCCCACCTGACCACAGGGACCAACAGACAAGCAAGGACAGCACATAATGTCACAGGTGTGTTCCAGTTCTCTCCCACCATCCAGAAAGAACACTCTTGGAGCCACATTCTCAAAGTAACCAATACAAACTAAATCTCTTATAAGCTGTATAAAACCACAAAAATAAAAATGAGTTCAAGGCCAGCCTGCCCTGGCTCTCTCAGACATCTAGGCCCCTCCTCCAACTGTCTGGACAAGGATAAGTACACACTAACAAGACACAGATTTCATGCCAGTCATTTAGGAACTCCAACCATCAGTGGAGGTGGCACATTCAACATGGGGATGATTGTGTTAGAATACTAGGAAGATAAACATGAAACCATATTTCATAGCTGAAGAGCTTATGTGCCTTCCTTAAGCTATCTAGGCTGAAGCAGCACAGGCTGTCCTGAAAATGCTGCCAGTTTCCTCTGCAGAGGCCAAGGCTGCGCCTGTCCAACCTCTCTTCCTTACCTGACCGCACGGACACGATCCTGTTGACGCCGTCCATGACTGTGAGAGGGTCATGGCGTCTCTCTGTAGAGCACTGGCGGTCAAATTCCACCCTGAGGCCTTCTGCACCTGGAGGACAAGCAGCAGACACAGTGACCACTCCCAGCAAGCAAATAAAGCCACAGTGAGCCAAGCAAAACCACATCAACTACAGCTATGTTTATAAGCTAATGAAGCTGGGTGTGACGGTGTATGTCTGCTATCCCAGCATTTAGGAGGCTCAGGCAGGAGGATCAGTTCGAATTCGAGAACAGCCTGGGCTACATGGTGAATCAAGGCCAGTCTGAACAACACAGAGAGACCCTGTCTCAAAAAATAAAAAATAAAGGCTGATGAAAAATCGGCCTCTACATCAAGACCCGAAAACTCACTGCCCTCCTTGCCCACAGAAAACTGCCTGTAGACTAAAAGACCAAAAACACTTCTCTGGGCCAACCTTGTGTGCGGTCATTTTAAGGCAAAGGATCACTCTGCACCCCCAAATGTCAGAGCACGTGGTACAGTAAACTATGAGACCTAAGGGCGGGTGCTAATGCCTTCCCGAAGGCCACGTGCCAACACCGGGCTCCCAGGGAAGCATTATCTTCATTATGAGGTTGAGCGAGTCCCTAGGGTCACTGCAGATGTGGCCCCAAGAGGCCTGGGAGACTCTGCCCTCCCCTGCTTCTGGCCTGTGACACGCAGCTCTGCTCTGTAATATGCTCTGCAACAGGCCAAAGCAAAGGGACCGACTGACACTGGCTAGAACCTCTGCAACTGTGAGCAAAATAAACTTCTCTCTATGTAAATTGATCATCTCAGGTCTTGGTTGTAGTGATGCAAAGCTGACTAACACAGTAGATTGTGGGAACTCCTGATGGCAACTGTAGGTAACAATTTCTTACTGGAAGACTGGTACTTCCAGTAGAGGTAGACTGTGGGGCTGAGCCCCCAACTATTCGCTATTCCTGGTAGTGTCAGAATCAAATTATGGGTCACCCTGCTGGTATCCACAGAGAACTAAAGAACTGCTTGGTGTGAAAGTCCTCACATCTGTGTCGCAAGTGGCCTAGGCAAAAGGATGGAGGTCTGACATCAAGCAGGCTGCTGGATCCCATTTTAAAGTTACAAGAATGTACTGGTGGGCTTATATGAAGCACCAGGGGCGCTCGCTAGTTTTAAGAGTACTAAGGCTATGAAAGAAAACAGCCTGATGACTTCCACACAATACTAACTAGCATAATAAACCAGGTGAGATGAGACCAAGCTGGCCCAATGGCCTGGAGTAGGTAAGAAATGCTTGCGTTTGTTGTTTGGTTTTTTTTTTCTTTTTGCAGAACCGGGGATTGAACTCTGGCCCTTGTGCTTGCCAGGCGAGCGCTTATTCTACTGAGCCATCTCCCCGGCCCCCGAAATGCTTGTATTTGGAACACATTTTAAAAGCAGTTAAGGGGCTGGTGAGATGGCTCAGTGGTCTAAAGCACCTACTTAGAACAAGCTAAGCTAAGCAAAACACAGGGACCGCGGTTCAATCCCCCAGCACCACACGCCAGACAGCCCCGCCCCCTGGTGGGCTGAGCTGGCCACACACACACATAAATAATAAAAGAAAT